TTTGTTAAGCATCAAATTACGCAACTTTTCCCTGATTCAACCAGGCCTGTATCTTTCACCGTTTCCGAGATCCCAATGATGTGTCTCGAATTTGAAACACCCTGTACCTACACGTATGCTGATTATTTTCGGATGGATTTTTATTCATAAATATCGATTGGTATGCTCGGCATACGTTATACTATCATTCTAAAGCTCGTTTTTGTTTTGAACAATAAACAATTAACTTCTTCAGTGCAAGTCCTGCAGTCACCCGCTAATTTTTCTTGCCGGTTGACAAGCATATGCATAATTACCAGAACCTCAGAGGGCATACGTTATACTATCGTTGTACTTTCTATACGGTCTATTACGGTATTTTGAAGACTTTGTTGCCATATTTTGACGTTTAATGGTATATCCAAGGCCAAAGGGCTTAAATTCAAAAAATGACAAAAACGTCTAGAGGTATTGATGTTACCTTGGTAACAAACCATATTGTAATGACTAAAATTTTTTTTTTCCGAAATGGCACAAACACAAACATTTTGATTTTTTACATCACCTACTTTATCGCTCCGTATATCACAACCCTGGGGTCCTATAAAAAATTCACAACAAGTAGCTTTATCCGGAAGAAACAGGCTATTAAACTACACAAACCACATTAAAAAATCTTTATTTTTGTCGAAAATATGAAATTTTGAATTTTGCCTAAAAATCTGTATGTGTAAGTTCGAGTTTCCAGCAGTTTAGATTACGGTGATAAGACTCTCTGGGTCCACGAGTTGAAACTAGAGAGAACTACAAAGGGTGAATATCACTCTTTTTCTTCAGTTACGGCAACATCCTGATAAATTTTTTGAATAGTATAAAATGACTATTGAAACCTTCGACTTGATATTGAATAGACATTTCAAATGCATAAATGGAAGAAAACTAGGCATAAATGGAAGACAACTAGGCATAAATCATCAAAGAACACACGCTAAACACGTCAAAAAACAAATTAATTTCATTTGCGATATAAATTTTTTTTCGTCTATCGCTCAAGAAGCTCAAAATGCAAAAAGCGTCTTTTCGGGCCACTCGCTATATATTACATTATTTTAATTCTAGTCGCAAAAGACGTTCCTAACACTCGTCGCCAAGCGCGTTTATGCCGCTTTGAACGCGTTTTATGTGGCCGTACACTTCGGGTTGTGATGTCAAACAGAACAAGGCAATAAACGAAGACACCGCATCGTTCAACGAAACCAAGAGTTTATCGAACGTATTCGTTGGTATTTGTAAACTGTTTACAACCCGTTTTGTACTGTCCGCCCAAGTTAAGAACACCGGTTAAAAAAATTTGAAGTTTTTAAGTTTATAGAAAACATAGTTGTCACGTACACTCACTACAAAAAAATGGGGCGTTTAATAATTATTATTTGTTAACAATTATTAAACGCCTCATTTTTTTGTAGTGAGTATACGTGACAACTATGTTTTCTATGAACTTAAATTCTTCACATTTTTTTAACCGATTTACTTACATACGTCACTCACTTATGGCAAAAAGCGATTGAGTTGCGGGGTGAAACAAGAACAATTGCCTTAGATATATCTAAAGCATTCGACAAAGTTTGGCATGAAAATCTGCTCACCAAGCTCAAAGCAATGGGATTATCGCCGAAACTTTGCACTTGGTTTGAAAGTTACCTAAAGGACAGATCCATTTATGTTGCACTGGATGGCCAGAACTCCAACTCTTACCAAATAAATGCTGGTGTGCCACAGGGAGCAATCCTTTCGCCAACTCTTTTCCTGATTTACATAAATGACCTCATAGATAAAACAGTAAATCCACTTTATTGCTTTGCAGACGATGGCAATGTAGTCTCCTCACTCATACCACCCACAGGTCTTTCCGCACGTGAATTCCATCATCTTAGACTAACTCAAATATCGCAGATAAATAACGACCTGGAGATAATAGAGGGCTGGGGTAACAAAGACCTTGTACAGTTCAACGCGCAGAAAACCCAAGCAGCTCTGTTTTCAAAAAAGACCAGCACCGGTGAGCCAAACATCATGCTATCTGGAAGTGCTGTCACATTACAGAGTCAGTTGAACATCTTGGGGGTTACTGCAGAGACCAACATGTCTTGGCACAGTCACGTGGCAGATATTGCTAAAAGGGCGTCCCAAAAGCTGGGGGTGCTATTTCGTACAAGACATCTGTACACACCAAGCCAATTGCTGACACTCTACAAAGCCCAGATTCGACCAACTATGGAGTACTGCTCACATATATGGAGTGCAGCACCCAAACATACCTTAATGCTTTTGAATACCGTGCAAAAACGAGCTATCAAGCTGATCAATGACCCCGCACTTACTCGTAACTTGGATGGTCTCGAACATCGCAGATCTGTGGGCGATTTATCTCTCTTCTACAGGTACTATCACGGAAAATGCTCTGAAGAGTTGGCACGTATGATTCCACCGAGAGTAGCACCTACCAGGCGAACCCGTCAAACAGGCGGTAACCATGAATTTACTGTCAAACTAGAGGTACCAAGAACCTCATTATATCAGAATTAATATCTCTGGAGAACAGCATCGCTGTGGAATAAACTCCCTGCGACGGTTTTCCCTGCAGGTTACAACCTGAACCGTTTCAAGACCAACATACACCGACATTTCCGCGCACTTGCCGCTTCTCGAGCGTGATAGGACATTTCCTTGCGATTGCGCATATCCGTAAAAAAAAAAAAAAAAACATTTTCCACCAATCCACAAATAAGAAGTTGCGGTAACGCAAATTCTTCCTTATCAGCTATTTGTTTACTTTTCTATATAGCAACCCGACCCACAGCAACAAAAAAAAAACAAAATGCATTACTTACTGTCTTCTATCATTTTTCAAATCATTATTTTGCAAATTTAGTGACGATAGTTTCTACCTTTATTTAATTTACTTAGTTAAAACTTCGCAAAATGGTTTATAGTGTGGAAGAAAGAATTGAAATAGTTTTTCTTTATGGTGCTGAAGGTAGGTGCTATTTGAGAACAGCCCGTGCTTTCAATGAGAGAAATCCGGACAGAAACGTTAGTCACGTTTATGTTAGGGATTTGATCCAAAAGTTTCAACGAACGGGATCGGTCAAAAATCAAAAAAGGGTAGGGCCCAGGGTACTGAATGAAGAAATGCAAATCGAAGTTATTGGTCAGGTGTCGGTCAATCCAGAAGCATCAACGCGCCAGTTGGCATCAATAACAGGCATACCCCGAACATCTGTCAGAAGAGTATTAACAATGCACAAATTCCACCCCTACAAAATGAAAATTCTGCAGGAACTTGGCGACGATGATCCAGATAGAAGGATTCAGTTCTGCGAACTAATGACGGAGGAAATTCGAAGGCAACCTTCACTCACTAAAAATATTTGTTTTAGTGATGAGTGCTCGTTTTTGCTAAATGGAAATGTGAATAAACAGAACTGCAGATACTGGAGCGATGAGAATCCCCATATTGTTGTTGAAGGACATACCCAAAATCCCCAAAAGCTCAATGTTTGGTGCGGAATACTGGGCGATAAAATAATAGGTCCATTTTTCATCGACGGAAATTTGACGGGTGCTGTTTATGTGGAAATGCTGGACAATGCGATAGAGCCGGAAATTGTAAATGAGGTTGAAAATCAAAGAGATTTGGGAGGAACTTGAATCTTGATGAAGACATCATACACTTTCAGCAAGATGGAGCCCCTCCGCATTATGCTATTGTCACAAGGCGGCAGTGGCGGCTCGTGGTGTCCAAGTAAGGGTGGGCGACAAAAATAAAAAACAGCCGTAGGCGATTTTTTTCAAAGATTTCCAAGGTCGCGGCCTTTTCAAATACAGGAAAGTTGCCAAAACTATCACGAAAACCTTTTCCCACGACGTCATCCACTTCAATTAAAAGCATTTTTTATTTCTCCATCCTTTTTCCAGGGTGGCGGTGCCTACCTTGCCCATATGGGCAAACCGCCACTGCAAGGCGGTGGTTAGATAGATTTTATCCAAGGCAATGGATTGGCAGAAGGGGTCCAATCGAGTGGCCGCCAAGGTCACCTGACCTCACTCCTTTAGACTTCTTTTTGTGGGGTTACATTAAATCCATAGTCTACAAGACAAAACCAGCTTCGTTGCAAGAATTGCGGCAGAGGATAATTGAGGCATGTCGAAACATTCCGAGAGAGATGTTCCAGAAAGTGAGAGAAGAATTTGAAAGTCGTTTGTATTTTTGTATGGAACAAAACGGCTGTCATTTTGAGCAATTGTTAAAATAAATTATCTAGATAATTTTTAATTTGGTTCCTATTTTTCAAAATGTCACACCTACATTTCTTAATCTCTACTTAGCCGTAATTTTCTTAGGTTAAAATCCTTATGACCATCGTTTAGTATTTTCAAATAGCTTTCCATAGAGGTGCCACAAGTGGGGTACCGCAATCTTAGAATTTCAAATGAGTGAGGGTGGCTCGATCCTAGGGGTGGGTCGCAGTGGTTTGAAAAATACGTAATTTGAATTTAGCTGGGTCGCTTCAATTTCCTATCTCTAATTTCATGCTAAAAATTCTTTTTTTTTTGTAAAATTTATTTCTACCAATTTTTTTCATTTGACGGGTAGTTTCCAATGTCACCCTAAAAATTTTATGACCATCGTTTAGCATTTTTCATGAGCTTTCCAAAAAGGTGCCACAAGTGGGGTGTTGCCATTAAAGATTTTGAAGCGAGTAGGGGTGGCGCCTAAGGGGTAGGTCGGGGTGGTTTGAAAAATACGTCATGTGTATTCCGCCTTGATTTTATAAAAACGGTATTTTTTATTTTTTCAATATTTTTTTTGGTTCAAAAATTATAGCCATTGTAAGTTTTCAGTGGCCCACCCTGTATATTATTTGTTAATGGAATCATAAAATTGAAGTTTTTGATACCTTTTTCGCTCTAGCGCCCTGTCTCTTACTCTTGCCAATATATATTTTTCTTATTTCTAGTTAGTTGAAGCCATAAAATTCACTCTAAAAAACCAGAAGACCAAATCAAATGAATTCATTACCGATCATTTGCAAATGGGCTCCAAAGGTGAGGAAATCCAATTGAAAATGCAGGAAATAGGGTTCGATGACTTAAAAATTGGACTCAAAGTATTTTTAATTAATGACAATCCAGCTTTACTGGAAGAGGCCCTTTCACAAGCCCTACAAAAACAATTGAATGTCCCGAAAGTTTTTGATGTCATAATTTCTTTCAAAAACCATTCATTAGATGAAGCAGCGAATCAAGAGCCTAACTTATTAGACAAAAGTGAATTTGACAATTTGAATCAAATTAAACCTATATGGAAATGTTTGGAGACCTATGTCAGCAAAAAAATAGTGGGAGAATTAGGAATTGCTGATATTGAAGAGAGCACATTCAAGGAATTATATGAATGGGCTACTATTAAACCCAGCATTGTACAAATAAATTTGGAAACATGTTGCGTGGTACCGCCTGGATTACAATCATTTTGCAAAGAGAAAGAAGTTAAATTGTATACGCATAATGATTCTAGTGGTAAGTGAATATGATATTTATGATAAAGGTTTTGTTGTTATGCTTGGACTAACAATACTTTTTTAACATTGCATCATAACTCGCAATATAAATTATAAAGGGTGAGTCAGAAAAAGGAGTTTAAATTTTGCATCAATTCTTGCTCGAGGCGCTGGCTTTTTTCATCAGTTAACTAGCCACATTTAGCCCTCAAAATGCCAGACAAAAAAAAAATGACTACACTAAACAGTCCCTATCTCAGGGTCTATTAGGCGAAAATTTAAATGTGATTGACAGAAGAGTTTTGAAGAGTTAAAATTAAACACAAACACCGATGTAATTACATATTAAATTAACATTTTATTCTTCTTCTATCTCATGTTCGGCTGCAGTTTGTAATGAATGACTTATTTACAAAATACTTACTTGATAATATATGAAAATTGAATTTTACAAATGGAGGTAGATAGTAATGATTTTTAACAACATATTTTCAATTATATCTGAATTTAAATTATAACAATTAAAAAATTTCACTTATCTGAACGCTAATTTGTGCACAATATTTTTGTCTGTCTTTAAAATTCAACTTTCATTGTCATCAATAATTATATTAGGTTTGTGTTTAATTTTAATTCTCCAAAACTCTACCAATCACATTTAAATTATGGCTTAAACGGGGGATGGAAGGGGGAACCAAAATGAGGCACTTTTTGATTCACCCCGCTGCACCCCTTAGGGGGTAGCGACCGCAACTTATTTTTTTTTCCCGTTGTTTTCCCTTCACAGTCTTATAGCAAAATCTTAAGCCGGGCTCAGACGACTCGTGTACTTGGCGAATATACAATTATTCGCGTACTTAGCAAGTATACTAGCTTTGCGAATTGCGATGGCAAGCAGGGCGCTCACACGACGTGTTCAATTTACAAGTACGCGAGCGCGAACATTTGGCTAAACCTTGATGCCCGTCAGCTCGTCGAAAACTAAATGAAATAGTCGCAGTAAAAGCCAATTATTTGTGCATTTCGTTTGAGCGCCTCTACAAGTATAGACAAATATGAACTTGGCAAGTGTACGAATAATCGTGATCCCTTTGACTCGGGACATTTTTAAAGCCGGGCTCAGACGACTCGTGTACTTGGCGAATACACAATTATTCGCGTACTTGGCAAGTATACGAGCTTTGCGAATTGCGATGGCAAGCAGGGCGCTCACACGACGTGTTCAATTTACAAGTACGCGAGCGCGAACATTTGGCTAAACCTTGATGCTCGTCGAAAACTAAATGAAATAGTCGCAGTGAAAGCCAATTATTTGTGCATTTCGTTTGAGCGCCTCTACAAGTATAGACGAGTATGAACTTGGCAAGTGTACGAATAATCGTGATCCCTTTGACTCGGGACATTTTTACCGACAAGAAATGGAAAACCAACGAGTGACAAATAATTGTAGAAGTAACCCACTCACACGACATGGCAAGTATACGCAAGTAACGATTATTCGTCAAGTACACGAGTCGTTTGAGCCCGGCTTACCGACAAGAAATGGAAAACTAACGAGTGACAAATAATTGTACAATTAACCCACTCACACGATATGGCAAGTATACGCAAGTTACGATTATTCGCCAAGTACACGAGTCGTTTGAGCCCGGCTTTAAATCATACGATTAATTTTTGAGATATCGATGTTTAAAAGTAAGCACATTTTGAATAGTAATGCCGCCGAGACGAGAGATTCTCGTCTTTCGTCTCGTCTTGACGAGAGAGAGACCGATTTTCTCTCGAAAAGTCACTCCGAGACGAGACGAGATAATGCTTTCTCTCGTCGAGAATTTCTCGAGTCATTTCGAGCTCTCTCGGGCAATATAAGTTTATTGAAATATAACTAAATAAAAAGTGTTTTATATTGTGTTTATTTAACTTTCTATCTAAACTGTAGGCAAAATAAGTTTACGCCAGATCAAAACAACAGCATTTTGGTACAATCACTGCTATAAATCATTAGCTGATGCTGCTTTTAAAACATTAGGCGAGGTCAAATGTTTCCAGTGGCTCTATAATAATGTTACCCACGAGCGTACGGTAAAGTACACTTTACCGCACTTATTTGCAAGTAGAATTTAGCACTTTACCGCACACTATGCGGTAAAGCTACTTTATCGCATAGTCGCCGATACGAATTTGAGATCTTCCTGATAGTAACACTGTGATGGGAAAGCGACGAGCTATTCAACGATGTTCAACACAAGGTTAGGATCGCTACCCTCTAAGGGATGGAGCGGGGTAAAGTCAAAAAGTGCCTCATTTTAGTTCCCCCTTTTATCCCCCGATACGTATTTGAGATCTTCCTGATAGTAATTTTTGTCTAAGAGATATACCCGATTGCTACTTTTCAAATTGTCACCCTGTATAAACGACCTGTAGATAAGACCTCCAGATTTGTACTCTTTGCGGACGAAACCATCTTGTCTGTATCTGGAGACACCGAGGACAAGGCGCCGGCAGGCTCATAGATGCACGTGTGAGGCTGAAGGATTGGTTTCTGTCCAACAAATTTCTGCTAAATCATGACAAAACGCATGATATGCTTTTCACTCTCAAAGACAGTCACAGAGCCAATGCTGATTCTATCACCTTTTTGGGGGTGAGGGTAGAATCCCAAGCTAACCTGGGAGAAAACCAAGTTGAGACTGTGTGCAAGAAGTTGAGAGGTAGTGTGTTTGTCTTGAGAAATTTGGGTGTGTGTCCGATGAAACGCTGAAGAATGGGTACTATGCATTGTTTCATAGCGTTATGTCCTATGGAACAATTGCCTGGGGGCATTCAGCCATTCCACTATAGACTTCGGCACCTGCCTCAATTTTGATTCGTCAATTTTGAGTACAACTGTAGAAGGTGCGGAATAACGTAGTAGATTGTTAGAACGGTGTCCAAAACGAGAGTGCAATGTCATATGCTTCAATTGATGCCGCCAATACTATATGCCCATGGGCGTCGTTACGAGGTTTCTCAGGGGGGGGGCAGTATTATAATAAGACCATTTCCATTAGCGCCGCAGGCAACCGCCGTAGGCTAATTTTTTTTAGTGCCACGCCCCTTTTTGAGCATTTTAAGGTACTTAGTTGATATCGATATTTAGTTAAAAATGATGGTATTTTTTTCCACAACAAATTCACTGTCCGCATCATTTGTTTAGTGGCGTCGCCAGGGGAGCGCCAGAGGAGGCCGGGGCCGCCACTGAAATTTAGCCGCCCCCCCCTGAAAACTTGCTCTCATGTCGGCAACAATGTAATGTAACATCAGAAGCCTCTGTCGGTTAATTCGGTATTCGGTGAGCACAGGCCAAGAATCGTAAACTAACAGGAATTCTCATCCTCATAAGGCGTACATTCGTCAACTCTCGAGTCGGCAGGGCCTGCGAGTGACGTCACTACTAATTAGTAGCATAACAGCTTATAATGATGACGTTACCCGCAGGTCTCGATGGGATGTTTGCGATTCAGGTTGTGCTTGTTTTTTCGTCAATTTTAAATGTAGAAAAGGTGATTTTAACAAGATTATAACGATTGCTGTGACCTGTGACTGTTTTAAACTCGGTTAATGCATTTTACGCCAAGTGTTGAGGTGTTCGGCTGAGATGGGAGACATTTCAGCTCAAGAAGCAGTCCTATTAAGTTGAGTGTTCTTGGGCACAGGCAACTACGATGCTGCTTTCGGTTTCCTGGGATTACCTCAAACATAACACTGTCGACAGGTACTTCCCATTTTTTATTCCAAAGAAGAAAAGCAGTAAAATAAAAACAAATGCCCCCCTAAATTTTTCTGGACCAGTCTGCCCCCCCCCCTAACATATAACCCTGGCGGAGTATATATAGGATTCAACCGAATGTTGGAACTCTACCATCGGTTCAGTGTTTTATAATACCGGCCCTAAGTCAAGTGAAATTCAATTCCGTTGAATGTAATGAAAATGTCAGCCAATTTTTCAAAGTACCTACCAAACAAATTCTGAAAAAATGGAAAAAAGCAATACGAATACGAACTCTCTTTTACTGCTTTCTTGTTCAAAAGACTATTTCTAGGGGGGGGGGGAATGCCCCCCCCCCCCCCCAAACGACGCCCATGTATATGCCAATAAGTGGTGCTCAATGTGTTAGTGGATTGTGCGAACGGTGCTGAAACGAGAAGTGGAATGTAGAATTGATTGACGGTTATGTTATGACGATTTGTTCATCGCATTGTGCAGTTTTGTTTGCGTTCTACTCAATAATATCCATCATAAAATGGAAAATGTAATCAAAATAATAATTTGCTTTATTGAGGAATATTCAAAAGTGCGGATGAAGTAATTGAATGGCTACGAATTTACGAGGAACAAACTGGAACTTCGTGGCGCGTAAAAACTGCGTTGAAAAACAATATAAGATTAATTTTTAGGTGGGTACCAATTTGTTTTATTGAGTGATAATAAGAATAGTTACCTATGCATTATAAGAGATCTTCCTCTTCGATTTATTATGGTAACATGATGTGTTTTTCAAGAAGACATTTTTATGTCATCATGGTGGCTTTCAGGAAGCTGAAAGTGGAAAAAATAAAAAAGGGAATTTCAAAAATACAGAGTGCATTGCTGAATTAACCATAACAATAAAGAAAGATAAAAGGGATGCTCGAAAAAAAGATGCATATATTGTACATATATTAAGGTACCTACGTGCAGGTACCTGAAATAAACTACAATAATATTATATGACAAAGTTATTTTCACTTGAATCACCTCAAAAACAATAAAGTTACCTATTTGAAGAACTTCTACATTCCAGTAATTATTAGCTCCATGCGTAGCGCAAAAATAATCATATCGCATTGCCCTCTCATTTTGGGCACCGTCCTGACATTCAACTACGTGATTCAGCACTTCTGTACTTGCACTTATGCCTAATACATATGAACATTCCACTTATGATTTGAGCACTGTTTACACATTCCACTATGCGTTTCGGCACGGGTGCCGAATCGTATAGTGGAATGTCTAGATGCTGCCTGGGGTGGCTCAGGACATGCAGAGAGGGTCTTCAGACTGCAGAGAAAGGCCATCCAAATTATCGCGGGACTTGGATACCGGGAGGATTGCAGGGCTGCTTTCGTGGGATTGGGTGTGCCCACTTTTCCCTCAGTGTTCATTTTGCAGAATTTGCTTTACATAAGAGAGAACGAGTGTGCATTTGCAAGTCATGAGGACACTCATGGTCATGATACCAGGAACAAAACTAATCTGGTAACAGCATATTGTAGGCTTAGTAAGTGTCAAAAAAGACCTGAGTCCCTAGCTGTCAGGTTGTATAACAGACTCCCACAAATTATTAAAATCTTAACTGCTAAGGGCTTTAAATTGAAAATTAAAGATTTACTGGTTAAGGAAGCCTTCTATAGTACAAAAGAAAACATAGATTTTAAGTTCTAGCCTCTGATACTGCCTCTGTCATTTTTCCTATTGTGCTTATTGTTCTCTTAATGGTCGGATAGTGTTGTAGATTTGTGTCATGTTCACTTGTAATAGTTATGTCATGTACAATTATTTTAGCAGTTTTTAATCTTTTTAGCAAGCCCTTTTGGCGAATGTTACTATTGTGACAAATCTTAATTGTTAGTCTACTGATGTTATCATTAAGTATTTTATCTCATTTTTTGTCTAACGTGTGTAAACTTTATATTGTGAAATTAACATGAATGAATTTTGATTTGGTTTGATTGATTGATTTGATTTAATTTAACATCAAATTTTATATGTCTTTTTTATTTTGTAGTCATTCTGCCTGATAAACTCGTAGAAGAGATGTTCGGAAACACGCTCGAGCTGCAATGGGCTGTCAGGTTTACAATTCACATTAAATGCAGAGGAGTATTAACCACCAAAGGATATTGCATTTGTATGGACACGAAGGCGAAATAAAATTATCAGGTTTTTTTTTCCAAATTAAGTACCTAAAATTTCAGTATTCTTATTCTTGAAATAATATTAGATATTTGCATTCCCATCTTTTTATATGTTTCAATAAATATTATACAGCTTCAATTATTTCTGTTTTTTTTTAATTACTAGTTTTCTCATGACGTAATTATAATAACTATAATAATAATAGGTTATTCATTTGCATGATTACAAGGAAGTATTGTATGTTGTCAACACTTGAAGTGATCCATTATGTACTTAGGATTGAAAATATTTTTATGCAAGGAGATAGATCGATGAAAAAGGCAGTGATTAAGTTGTGAAAGGAAATATTGCATTCACTTGAAGATGAAATGATGTATGTCATTCGGCATAGGCTGACAAGGCCCTTACCTAGGGGCGCAAGGCGACAAAGGCGCCGAAGGGCACCAAGCACCAAACTCAAAGTGTTCTGAAAATTCGAGAACTAAATTTAAATCTCAAACTATTCTTAGAACAATCAGTTCCTTTACTAAATAAGCTTTTCAAGGAACGGTAGTAGACCCAAAATTGATAGGTTGCCTGAAGGGACCATCCAATAGTCTATCAAGTATGTATAGGTATGATTTCAAACTCAAGGCCCTATACGCATCAACTTATTACTATAAGCGTACAGGTAAATCTGTCACTGGATGTAGGTATTACTTTTGTTAAATATATGTTTCTTTCAGAAATGTACCTAAAAGAATAAGCCAATAACGTACTTTATGGGAAACAACATACAGATTTTATCACAAAAATGGAACGTAAGAGAATGTTCACTAGAAATTTATATGGAAGTCAATGAATAATGGACCAAATTTAATCTTTGAAATGCTATTTTTATTTAAAAAAACCTTCCATGAAAGAATATTATACAGATTAGAAAGAATATCCTAATAACATTCTTCTGAAGGAACAAACCTACTGCTAACCAGGAAGAATATCCATATAATCCATAGAAGCTTTAAAGAATCTCAGATATTTTTAAGGATTCTCGTGATATTCCTTACATAATTAATTTTAAGGGCTTTTTCCAAAAATGTAGAAAGCATCACATACAGATAAAACAATAAATACATTCTAAGAATACCTTCCATGGGGTATTAGAATTGGGTTGTGTATAATCTCTTTTTACGGAGACGTTTTGATAACATTTCCAACGATCTTGGCGGATGTTGTCTTTCTAAAAAATTACATTTTTATAACGTTTTTCCTATCCTGGTATTTTAAAAGTATTTATATGAGAAACAGTTATCAGAGGTAGATAATGAAAATATTCATGTATTTTTCGGGGGCGCCAGAATTTGATCTGCCTTTAGTAAATTTTTGTCTCTTTACGGCCCCGTCATTCAGCCCCGAAGGTCTTTTTGTAGGTCTCTGCTATGCTTCGGACTTCAAACCCTGAGACCATAAAAGTAAATTTAAATTATGTACTACAAAAATTATTTCTTTCAAATTTTGTGGTGTCACGAATTAGGGACGCATGCTATCCGAACCAAAACAATGTTTACTTTTTGAAGTGTAACTTCTAATGCGACTTCGGAAGTTTAACGCGTTAAATTTCACTCTAAACTCTACGCTTGGAAATGAAATGGGATTCAGCCTGCCTGCGTGAGAATGAGATAAACACGTCTCCATATCATCAATACACACATCAAAATGTTCTAGGGAACAAAATAATACCTATACTATGTCAAGGTGCATCCAGACCGGTGCAACAAACAGCGCAAAGCGTTCGCGAACGTTTTGCAACAAGCATCCCGCTTAGCGCGGATAACGTCTTAACTGCTGCAACAATTTTTTGTTTATCTACCGACACCGCATGGAAAACATTTTGCGCTGCGCAAAACAGAGCACGCGCGAGTAAAGGGCCCCATACAGTACGATGAAACACGTCGTTCTAAAACCGAACTGTGTAATAGAAAAACACGACGGTTTTCTACAGGGCCCCACAGACTACGATAAAACACGACGGTTTTCATCGCCACGATGAAACACGTCATTCCAAAACCGAAGTGTGTGGTAGAAAACCGTCGTGTTTCATCGTCGGTTTAAAATTCAGTCCGAGCTTGATTTTTGGCACGACGGTTCAACATTTCGTACACACGAACGGTTTTCTACCACACACTTCGGTTTTGGAACAACGTGTTTCATCGTGGCGACGAAAACATCGTAGTCTGTGGGGCCCTGTAGAAAACCGTCATGTTTTTCTATTACACACTTTGGTTTTAGAACGACGTGTTTCATCGTGGCGATGAAAACCGTCGTGTTTCATCGTAGTGTATGCGGCCAGAGGCGCCGACTTTTGAAAGTCCTCGTGGGTGCAGGATAATAAATTTATAAATTTGTTAATACGGGAGGGGGAAGCTCGCCGTAGGCGCCGCCGGAGGGGAAAATTTTCTTCCGCATGCCACTCCCAAAAAAGTTTATTTTATAGTTTTTCTAAATTCGGGCAGCACTAGAGCAACCCTCGTTCAACTTTTGTATTCGATTTTATAGTTAATTTAGGATAAGGTAGTACCACTAGTGCCTAAATTATTGTAGCATATATAAAGCCACTTATGGCCGTTTACACTCACCAGTTTAACCCTTCATCAGTGTGGTAGGAAAAAGTTCCATTGTTAGTGTGATGGGATATGTCATACCCCAAACTTTTTTTCGCTTTCTAAATTAAGGTGGCATCAAATAAATATTTAATTAGTTTCTTTACCTTATATATGCAATTAATTTCAATAAAAACATAATACGGACTCTTAGATTTTCTATTTAATGCTTCATAATACATAATCATTGTTAATCTGTATTTTTATCAAATTAAACATACTGCGAAGTTATTAATGGTTTTGAAATTATTTAATGAGTTCTGGACAAAGAAAAGATTAACATTTTAAATCAAAAAACATAAGTCTTTATCGTGTTGAAAAAATTATCCTAAAAGAGTGAATACAGAAAATTTTAGGCTGCATCAAAGTCGATGCAGTTTTGACAAAAAAGGTAAATTTGCATGTCCCATGCATATGGATGTCCCACATTTCTGACAGCAGTAGAATATCTTCCTGTCTTTAGCTCGAGGACAAATCATACATCTTGATAAAACTTTTCATCGTTTGTTTTGGTTTTTCATGTGACCAAGCTGATTTTTTTGACTCAATGGTCTCAAAACATGATATCCGACTATTACTACATAGAAAAATGTATTATGAGCGAAAAATTGATAAGAAATAACATATCTTGTGTATCTACTTCTGCAGAAAATAGTAATAACACGATCAGTGTGGTGGGGTCTGACATGCCCCAATCGCCTTTGTAGCCTTATGTAGCCTTATTCACGAATGATACAATATTTGGCGATTCGCGTTATTTTTTTATGTAGATCAACACAATATCTCAAGCTACTGGCCACTAGCTGGCGTCACGTACTCGAATTTGAAAAATGCAAAGATAGAAAGGTCGTCCGGGAGAGATTGCTCATGGGTGCACCTGCCCCAATGCCCCCATGTAGTCGGCGCCAGTGTATGGGGCCCATAAGTCTGAGCGCGCAACCGTCCGCATATAAGCAATCCGTATATGTATTTGGCACCTAGGTCTTTTCTATTGGTTCGGTGCGGCATGCGGTCGTATTTCAACCAATAAACAGCTAGGTGCCAAACACATATACGAAATGCGATGTAGTGCCAAATTCGTAAGTATACGGAATGTTGCACATTCATAGGACTGACGATTTTGAGTTTTATAAGTTGGAAAAACAAAAACATATTAATAGATAGGTACTTAGTCAAAAATCTACTTCGAAAAAGGAAATAGACCGGCAGGGAAATTAATTTTAAAAAGTAATTAGTGTACTAATGTCCTTCTACATGTTTTGTTGCATTTGGTTGGGTTGGTTTGAAGCTACTACGTTGGCCGAAAGACTGTGACGCCTTTTTAACCGTTAGGCGCGCGGTCTACGTTTGTAGACCACACATATTTCAACGACCATGGATTCAAAACGGTGTTGGTTGCGCATGCGCGAACTAGAGTAGCTGTCGATTACACCCTAGTCTAGTCTATCGTTCCAGTATTCGAACTGCAGCGAAGGAAGTTGTTGCTAATTTTTAGGCACGTCTAAACACGATTGGTCTACGATTGTAGACCGCGCGCCCATTTGCGTTACTTTTTCTGTCGGGTGGAAACATATGGCAGATACGTGCACTACCTGGTTCAAAAGAATGAAAAACTCTGTATTTTTTGCACATTTATTTATTGTCTTCTTTTGACCACATTTTGGTAAATTCTAACCCAGTAAGACTTTTTTTGTCGTTTCAAACTGTCCAAAAGCTAATAAATGTATAAAAAATCATATTTTTGGTTGCTATAAGGTTTTTATTCATTAGCAAAAAATTATAAAAAAATATTGATGTAAAACACATTTTACACTGAAATGTAGATATGAATAAATACATATTTTACCATTTTTGAATGATTTTTGTCATAAGGTATTATATAATGACAAAAAAACTCGTTATAAAATACCGCGCGCCTAACGTAGGGTTAATCTCTTTTTAGGAGGCTCGTCTTGAATGATCTTCCAAATGGCAATCTTTTTGAGCCCCTCGAAATTCCCACCTCTGTCGTCGACTGATTTAAAGTTGATTGTACTCTTATGCTTGCCCTATGTCCAAATCGCCTCGCAGAAGAGTTTCCTTGGTATCAAAACTTTCTCTAGCTGTTTTAGTATTATTATGGGATAATCGTTCATGCAAAACTTTAAAGGTTGACAAATCAGTTCCATGTTTATTATTTTTATGCAATTTTACCATAATTAAATGCACTGTTTAAAAATTTTACGAACCTTTTTTTTAAAAAAAAAAAAAACATATGTTCCGCCAGCTTTAGAAAAGTTAGCAGATTAATATAATAGGCAAAGCAAAGAGGAAGATGCCATCGAGACCTGAGAAAGCGTTGTTTAATGGCCGTTTGCACCGACCATTTTAAGCAGGGATGTGCGTCTACACGTAGACTTTGATTGTCTACTTTACGTGTAGACAATGTAGACAATGTCAACAATGTAGAATAATATAAATGACGTTTAATTCTAACCTCACACTTTCCTTTTTTTTAATTATTT